ATTAATGATTATTAACTTAAGGAGATAGTATCTATTTAAATATCATAAATCTATTTGATTTTTTTGTCCTCGCCTCCCCCCCTACTGAATAACTTGTAATAGGGCTAGAAGAAAAGGAAACATTGATGAGTTGGGTTTTTTACTCTTTTTTTTTTTTCTGTGTTTGTATTTTTTTTCTTTTAACAGCATTTTACTTATACAATCAGGTTCACTGCTTCTCCCACATAGTTGGCAGATAAGTTCTCCACTTATCTGTCATAGTCTTCCAGTTGGGAAGGGGAAGAAACTTTAAAGAACACTAAAATCCCATTACAAAGCAGCAAAAGTTGATTGAAGATCTTTGGATCAAACTGAAAGACTGGAGGTTCTTTTGGCTCAGCTTTGTAAAGATGCACTAGCTATAAAGTTCATCATGTCCTGTTAAGTAGCTGTTGGCCAAAACACGGAATTGGTCTAGGTCAGGGATTTGATGTTGTTACTGGAGCTGTCTTGGAAGCAGCTTGTTGCTTGGACTTCAGACAGGAATTTGGGTCAGTAACTGAGGATGATGGGAAGAAAAAACAGGACAAAAATGCATATGAAGTTTATTTTTTCTAAATTTATGCCTTCTGTAAGCAGTCTTGCAAAGTGCAGGGTGTGCTCCTCACCTAGGCATTTCCCCAGCAGGTCAGCTTCTGTCACCTTCCTGGACCAGCACCTCTCCCCAGGTTGAAACCCACCAAACCTCTGCTGAAGCCCGAGGAAAAACTCCTGCAGATTTCAAAGGGAATCCGGCTGGAAGACTTGTGCACGTGCTTAGCTGTGCTCGGTGCGTGTGTCTGACCGAGCAGTGTCCCCGCGGGTGAACCTGAGCTTGTGTGGAAGCTGCTGGCCAGAGCTCTTCAGACAAGGACTCGGGCGGCCGCCTTCTCGGCCGGGAGGAAACTCTGCAGACACAGCTCTCAGAAAAGCTGTGTCCCTGCTTTTGCAGCTTTGGCTTTGCTTGCAGAAATGATTAAGGCAAATACGTACAGTGTGTAAACGTGCTGCTGTTTTCCTGAGAATGGATGTTCTACCATAACAGCCATGAGCAATGTCCTTCTCTCCCTTTTAATTTTTATTTTCCTTCATCTTCTGTCATACTGTATGGGAATGGGGGTGTAGACCATCTTAGACCAGACTGAACAAATAGAAGAAAGCTTCAGCAAGCAAAAGAAACTCTTCAACTATTTTTCTGTGCATGAAAACCACTCAGAAGAGAAGACCATACACCCTTCTGGTGTGCATGTTGAGAAGCTATCCAGGGTTCGAGGCATCTGGGGTTTGTCTCTGTCACTGTGGAGAACTAAGGCAAAGCTGTTAATCTTGTGCCATCGGTTGATTTTTGTTGTGTTTGTGTTTTAGTTATTTGCATATAAATGCATTGAGGATTGCAAACTTGCCTGATCACAGAAAGGAGAGTTGTGCTGCTGTCACTCCCAGGCTTCCTTGGTTTGTGATCTGATGCTATTCACAGCAGTGCAGATTAGTGATGACTATCATGTGGATTTGTGCTCCTCAACAATAAAGTCAACACTAAAAAACTCTTTGTATAGAGAGCAGCAAACTTTTTGAATAACCTTAATCATCTGTAAACTAGCTAGATCCACAATTCTGGAATTCAGAGAGAAATTTCAAGCTTTATTAACCAACTGATATTTTGAGACCTGTCATTGGAAATTCCCTCCATTGCAATGCATGAATAATATATAATCCAGCATTTCCATGGGTGTTTCTTCAATGGGTTATTCAAAGAACTGACAGATTTGGCTGTTTCACAGAGATCTGCAGAGCAAAGATCTTCTTCTCATTAACATCTGCAGATTTTATGGCATGGGAGTAAGACTGTTTCAGTTATACTTGCTTAGCTGCAGCTAGGCTGAATGTGGCCTTTCTCTTCATAATTCGGTAGGATACATCTGTTTTCAGCCAAAAACAGGATATAGAAAGCCATATCGAAGGGAGGAAAAAAAAATTAAACCAGATTTATCTTAAGGTTTGCTCCAAGTCTTGTGTCATTTCTTACTTTGAGCTGGTTTGCCTGTTTGCAGTAATTAGCTGGCTAGGAGAAGTGGAACAGCATGGCCTGGAGAGCCTTATTTTATTGGTCCCTTTTCTTCATTGTTCAATCTTATTACAAGTCAGGTCAGAAGAAGAAGATTCTGAATGTTTGCACTTTGTGTCTTCTTCATTCGGTTTGCCATAAACATCCTAAAGCTTTGTGAAACAGCTGAAAAAAACTTAGAACAGAAAGGACAGAGATAGGAAAATCCAATAAGTGAGCAATAAAAAATGATCTGAATTTTGTTTTAAACTTGGGTCAGGTTGGGGTCGAGCTGCTTTACCCATCCCTCTGGGCAGCATGAGGTCTCCTGATACTTTTGCATGGATTTGCAGAAGTTGCCAGATTCTTTGTGTTTGCTGCTGGGCTGGACTGGATCTCTAGGAAGGCAACGAGCTGTATAATTTATGTTGGAATGTTAACATTTGAACAGGCATAAAATTACAAGGCGTTATCATGGGCTGAGGAGCAACATCTTGGGTTTCTTGAATAGTCATGGTCATCTTTCAGTGAGGCTGCTTTTGGGGACTGTTGAAAATCTGTATCTGCTTTTCAGGGCTGCCTCGTTATTTCAGCACAGGAAGCCAGCAAAGAATGTGCTGTCCTTTTTCCCAAAAGGGCCGGCTGTTTTTTCTCTTCCTGAGCACAGCTGTTATGGTGAATTTATTCTGCCCAGATTTTTGTAGCTTGAAAACTGCCTCTGTGAGGCAGCTGGTACCTCCCATGTCAGGGACTTCTGCTGACCCACCTTACAGCACCGGCCAAAGGAAGGGGTGGTGTTGCACTGGGAAATGAGGGAGAAGCAAACTCAAAACGGATTTTGTGTTCAACTTCCCTTCAGAAGCGGGGGTGCTGGGGTGTACCTGGTGGAGCTGCCTAATTGCTGGTGCCTGCACTCGGATGCTGGAGCTGGGGCAGCCCCGGGCGGGGGGCTCGGAGGGTTGTAAAGCATTCCCCATGCGAGGTGTATTGTTCCTGCGGAGACATAGCCTGACCTTTGGTGGGACCTGACTCGTGGGGCTGAATGGAGTGGCTGTGCAACAGCGATCCTGAAAAAGCCTGGGGGAGGGGGAGGGATGCCAGGTGCCTGAGAGTATGGGGTCAGCCCCACGGCAGGTCCAGCCTGCAGCCTCAGCCCTGACTGACACAGATTTGGGATGTGTCTGCTGTGTTGATCCTAAATTCGCTACAGACTTAAAAAAAAAAAAAAAGCCCCACTGATTTTTTTTTCACTTGTCTGTTGTGCAGCCAAGCTCAGAACTAAGGGAGCTGTGCAGGGATGCATGCTGATGTGCCAGGAGGTGTGATCTTAGCCTCTGGAAAGAGGCATTTGAGAGCCCGTATTTGCTGTGTGAAGAGCCAGGCACCTAGAGGGGATGCCCATGGATGTGTAAGAGCTGCAGCCTCTTCCTCCTCCCTTGTCAGCTTATATTCTTCACCCTTTCCCTTGTAGAGTGCAGCTGGACGTGAAAGGGGCCAGCACCTGCTTGTCCTTGCAGAAGAATCACCCTCCAAGAGGCACCAGCCCTTGCACTGCAGCTGGATCCAAGGGGTGGCATGCAAAAAATTAGTCCAAGGTGTCTGGGGATGACTCCTGGTATTAGTGTGTCCCCCAGGAACACATTGGAAAAAAACTCCAGTTCTGGGGTGCAGAATAACTGGGGGCCCTGCAAGCATCAAACAGTCTCCCCATCCCTGTGCTAAATCTACAAAGGTATTTTTCCTTATGGTCCAGGGCTTTAAATAGGAAAAGGTTAACTAAGTAATTTCATGTAAATCTTCCACAGCTTGGAGGTATTTACTTTGTTTGCAAAGTCCTTCTCTTGCTGCTGGATTTGTGCCACCAATTTGTGTCAGGCATAGGCAGAGCACAGTGAGAGGTTTTTGTAAATTTGATGGTGTGGCTGCTGGGAAAAGCCAGGAAAATGCAGTTAGTGATCAGATTTGGGTAAGTTTTCTTGAAAGTATTCACCAGTGGGCTAGCTGTTGAAGTCAGGCAGAGGTGAAGCATTTCGGAGGGAAAAAAAAAAAAAAAAAAAGACACATTTAATGGAGTAAAAAAGCATTCATGCAGGAAATTAACAAAGAAGAAGGAGTTTGTCCTAACTCATCCTGGCTAGACTGCAACAGCAGCAGTGGTCTCTCCAGAGTCCACTGTGTTCACTGCAATATATCCATAGTGAGCAAGTAACACAAAATCTTGCTTTCCCGCAGCCAAAAGCAGTAGTGGTATTGCTATGTCTGAAAGAAAACAGGGTGGGAAGGAAAGCTTAATGTTTTTGGTAGTCTCCCCTGCTGATCGTGTCTTATAGCCATTGTGGGGAAATAGGCAAACAAAAATACCCCCTACTGCTACCCAGAGAGGGATTTTTATTTTGTAATATTCAGTCTGCCAAAAAAAGATGATCCCTTGGGCACTGTTGGAATCATGTTGCTGCTCTCAGGCTAAAGCTTGGAGTAAACCTGTGATGTATGATGGGCATCTCGAGAGCTACGACGCAGGAGTGGACATGGAGTGACTTTGCCCCATTCCTGAAGGCACTGGGTGGTGTGTGGGTGGAAGGAACAAGGCTCCTTGGTGACCTGGAGAGGACTTGGAAGGAGGGTGCTGGCTGTGGGCACCTACTTGCCAGCACCCACCCGGCTGCTGCTCTGCCTTCCCATCCTCTTTCTGCTGGTCTCAGCGACCCGCAGGAGAAGGACGAGATGGCCATAGGCTGCTGTTCTGGCAAGGCAGGTGGAAGCTTGTGGTAGGTCAATAAGAAGTGGGGTGGGTTGACCTGGGCTGGGTGCCAGGCGCTCACCAAAGCCGCTCTATCATTCCCCCTCCTCAGCAGGACAGGGGAGAGAAAATATAAACTAACGACTCATGGGTTGAGATAAGGACAGTTCAATAAAGCAAAGGAAGCCAGAAGATTTTATTGTCTACTTCCCAGCAGCAGGTGACGTCCAGCCACTTCCCAGGAAGCAGGCCTTCAGTATGCACAGCAGTTGCTTCAGACAACAAAAACAAATTGCCCCCCTCCCCTTCCTTTTCCTCAGCTCTTCTTGTTGAGCAGAGTTCATATGGTATGGAATATCCCTTTGGTCAGCTATCCTGGCTTGGTCCCCTCCCAAGATCTTGCCCACGCCCAGCCTATGGGTGGTGTCGGGGAGACAGCCTTGATGCTCCATGGCGTGTTCTCAATGCCTTTCTAGCTACCACTGCAAAGCACAGCACTGCTATAGGGACAAATTAACTCCATCTCAGCCAGACTCAATACAATAGGACTTCACTGATTTTTACAAAGCCCTTTATTTTTTGTCTTGAGGCTTATAAAAACTGTTACTCAAAACCAAACTGTTTAAAACTTTACATATGTACAATATGAGAAATAAATTATGCTTTAAGTCATACAAAAACCACAATATACAAATAGGGCTTTGAAACCACTCTAAGTATGGCATGGTGACAAGTCACAGATACTTACCAAAGGCTTCAGTTATTGAAGCCTTTGCATAAAACCATGGGAAAAAAAAATATCTCCAAATGTGCTTGCTTTGGTTGGATTGAAGCTCTACAAAAACTCAGAGAATTGCAGGCCTCAGAAAGACTTGCTAAGTCTTCAGAACTCAGTGCAACCATCTGGCAACACCATTTTTTGAGATTGCCTTTTTGCATGTCAAAGGTTCAAGAGTTGTTACACCAAGTCTCCTTCCAAAAATAAAAAAAAAAATAATAAATCTAGTTCACCTCTGACAAGGTCCACTCTGCTGTAGCAAACAGGACAGTGGTAGAGTCTGTCAAACTCAGAGCCAAGCCAAGTTCACTCGGCACCAGGGAATCCAACTGGGATGTTGTGGCAATGAGGGTAGGATGTCGTCTGGTTGGCTCAGTTAAATACTTTGCACAAAAATAAGGTCTTAATCATGCACGGGTACTACAACAGCATCTGAGCAGAGGTGAACACATTCTCAGTAGTTAAAAGGACTGGTGCAAAGCTCTCCTGAAGCAGTATAGTTGATCCCCTTTCTCCTCCCCCCAGTCAGTAGAAGGGCAGCTGCCATTTCCCTCTTATGAAGAGATCAATACATGGGACCGGGCGGCCTCGCTGCAGACACTGACTGGGGAGCAAGCAGCAGCTGCCAACACCACCTCTCTCTGCACCATGTTCTGCCCCACGTACAGGGAGGGCGGCGTGCTACCTTCTTGTAAGGTAATAGAGACATTTCAGCATCAGACAGACACAGAACAGATTATTTAAGGCAAGCAAAGGACAACTTGAAGTTAAGTGGCATTGTGCTTATTCCCATTCCTCCCCTGAACAACCCCACACACTTGACCTGTGCTGGTCTCCTCTCCCCACAGCCCATAGTGCTTTTGGACCCACGGTAACTCCTACGCTAGATGCTAATTTGCTCTTGGCAGCTCTGTCACCAGCAGTCTGATGGGTAGTTAGCATGGTTATCTTCTCAGCTCCCCTGGCAGGCAGACCAGAAGATCATTGCTGAGGTCTAGATCAGTGAACATCTCATCCGTAGTCCTGGTTAATAGGAGCAGGGCAGGAAATGCAGCGTGTAACAGGTCAAAGTAAGGTTAAATGCACAAACCAGACTCCCTGGGGAAGGGAGAAGGTAGTTTTAGTTATTCTAGGTCTAGGACCACGGTCCATCAATTGCTCCTCAGTTTCTTGCATCTGACCCAAAATGTTTTGTCCTGAAGAGCTAGTTAAGTGCTACCAAGCCAAATTTTTACCAGAGCATCTTGCCACCTGTGTGGTCATCACGCATCTAGGTTGCTCAGTTGTGAGTCTTTAGAGAAGTCTTCAGAGCAAATTTGACACAGATCTGGGAAAAGCAGAAAGGAAAAATAATATCAAGTTGAGTGCAGAAGCCAACAGCAGTAAAAAAAGAAGTCCTGAGGAACTCTGGGACAATAAGAACAGGTTTAGACAGTACAGGTCGGTATTTTATTCTGTCAAAGCAGCACTTTGCTCAGTAGCTACTCAGTGAGGGCCTGAAGCAGACATTATGCATGCAAGCAGGATGTGAACAGAAATTGCAGGTCTTGACACTAGACTCTGCCTGTTCAGGTCCATTCAGGGTGGACAGATGTTTGCAGGCTCAGTGTCCAAGAAGGGAACTATAATTGTCCGGTGACTTGGCAGGAATGGAGAGCTGGACAGCAGGTAACTGCTTGTGATCTCTGGGAGGAAGGATCATTTCCTAGGAACCATAGCACATTGTAGCTCAGATCTGCTCCTCTGCTTTGTGCAAAAGCTGTGCTCCATGACTAAGCAGGAAGGGCACATCTGCCAGCAATTCTGTTTTATGGGGGTTACTGAGTAGCATATCGGAACAGCCTTTTATTGTACCTGCAGGAATATTTACTTGATCTTTCAAGGCCTGTGGCAGACCAACAAGCTTTTGCACAGGGGTTTCATTCACAGAATTGTGTGCTACTGTATGTAGCACAGCTTGCTGGTTTCTGCCAAGCCTGGAACGGTACCAGCTCCCATTTCTGAGCTGAGCTCAGCCACCCAAGAGGACTGTGCAAAGCACAACTTCCACAGGGCTTTGCTAGCCCTAACAAGCAGTTTGTCTCTGGTTTAGAAGCGACAAAGCACTCTGAGTTTACAAATTGAAATTTAAGCCAGGCCAGAAGGGTGGGCTTCACCTGAAGGAGACTGTCATTTAGCCAAAGGAACAGTGATTCGTTCGGAACATGACTAGAGGCAGCCTGAAGCAACCAAGCCATCACTGCTGGGACCAGCCTTGCTGGAAGTCATGCTCTGAGGACTGATCCTAGGTGTCTGGAAAGTCCCCCAGAGGTTAAGCAGGGCTGAGATGCTCTGGCAACGGATGAGTTTGCACCCTCCTGAACTAGAAGAAATTAGCATAGCCGGAGATGAAGAGGTAGGAGTCAGTACTATAATGCCATGGCAAGTCCTCAGCTGTGTCTTGCCTACGCATCTGAGCTCAGACTTTAGTTGAGAGATTTATTGGCATCTCAAAATCTTCTACCAGGCTGAAATGATTTTTGAGGCAATCCCTTGCATTCCCAGCTTTCCTCTGTTTTACAGGGCAGTTAATAGATGCCTCTAATTAGCTCTCCACTATTGCATGAATCTTGGGTATTGGTAAGACCTCATTTTTAGCATCTACCACAAGAGGCCCAAGGAGTGTGTTATACCAATTTGGTCGTAAGCATGTAAAGGAACAAGATGGCAAACCAAGATCAGAAGTGAGGATATCATCACCTAGTTAGTGATAGTTAAGGCATGCATGAAATTAAGTCTAACAGCTGGGAATCTTGGGGTAGAATTTACTAACATTTTTTGAAATAAAGAGGTTCCAGAAGTCTAAACAAAAAAAGGCTCCACTCATCCTAGCACAGTCCTAGCACATCAGACAGGATTTCTCTTAGCTGATTATCCCTACCTTTTTTGCCATTCCTCTGTGCACTTCACAAACCAGAGCTCTTTACCAGGAGTTATACGGGTGAGCTGGGAATCCTCCACACAGAAAGCAAACCTAGGAGGAGCAACCAGAAGTCAAGAGAAGGCACCTGTTGTCTCCATGAATAACAAATAACATGTAATATCGACTGCAGCTAATTCTAGGACAAGTTGTTTGATCTGACATCCTTCCTCTGGAGCATCTTGATAGACCACTAGCCTGTCAAATGACTGTTTTATTTCCTACCTTAATACTTTATCTGGGGATCTTTGCTTCTAGTACCCCTATGTTTCACAGTCTGTAGGAACTAGGGTGCAGAATACTTTACAAGTGATAGGTGATGCTTATTTAAAGCTCTGAGAGATGTGAGAAATTGTCAATATCATCTGTTGTTCTTTGACAGATCTGGGTTACCTTCAGCAGGACAAGATTTGGGAGTGCAAGTGCTACATGCTTGGCAGCTTCTTCTTGGTTGCTTAGGTAGCTTTCCGATTACTGAGATCCCAGAAGGAGCAACAGAGTGCTTAAGGAGTTGGTGTCACCATGTTATCAGTTGCAGATTGAGGTCTAGCTGCTTGTGCCAAATCAGCACACTATGCCTGTAAATAATAGCCATGCCCACCTATGTTTCAATATTTTTGTCACTGTCAGTACTTTAACCCTTCAGGTACTACCTAAACTGTCTTGAAGTAGGCTAGTTTAGTCCCCAGGGCAGGCAAGACAGTGTCACAATATCTAAATAAAGCAAAGCAACACCCCAGATCTCATCTGCAGTGACTAGTTTTGCTTAAAGCCTGGTTTGCAACCTCATGCTGGCAAGTAACCCACTCTCCTACACCATGAGGGAGCATTAGCTGGTACCACTAAAAATGAAAGACAGTCCAGGATACCAGCTAAACCTAAACCCCCAGCTTTTCTTGCTAGATTCTGAATATTTCTCCTTTTGATTTAATTTTAGAGTCAGCTCACATGCAGTATAACACAATTATTACCTCTGCTGGGTTTCCCCAGATTTCACACGTATACGTCTGATATGCAGTTCCTGGGAAGCCTTCACAGGCCGATACCAGTAGCTCTTCAGCTCTTTCCATAGATCATACCATGATTGAGATGTTCCCTCCCAGGTGAGCTTTATTTTCAGAAGTTCACCCATGTCCTCTTCAGTATAGACCAGGAAGGTGTTAGTAGCATTTAGGCCAATTTGATCAAGCCTGAAAAACAAGCAGAGACTCAACATTTCTTCCTTATGGAAGCATGCCAGGTGCTCATTCATTCCATGCAAGAAGTTAAACAGAGCCCTTTGCAGCTTATCAAGTGCTCCACGTTCAACTGTCACCAGTTAATTACTGATTACACTAAAGAAAGTGAGCTTGGATAGCTGGTTCAACACAATGCATCATGTATTTGGCTCGGCTTAAGGGTGACTTTCATGCCTTGTGTTTCTTCTGGGAGAGGCTAGAGGAGGTCAACAAAAGGCCTCCAGAGATAGGGGTGCTTAAAGACTATATCCAAATGGTAGAGGGGAAAAGCAAAGCGAAGTACTTCAACAAGTTGATGTGAAGGCTAATATGTAGAAGACCGGACACATCAAATTGTTCTCTTAGAAGTAAATAACCAAGTTACCGGATGAAAAGTGTTTTGAATAGTGAAGTGGGGCTGCTGGGCTCAGGTGTGGTGCTAGCGTTACCAGAGGAAAAAGAATGATGACACCTTGTCTAGTCCCAGTGGTCTTCTTACTTGGGTAAACACAACAGGCCAGCTTACTTACATTTCTAAAGAGAGAGGTTCAGAGTCTCCATTGGTGCCATGAAGGGTGACAGAGAAAGTGGGATCAGCCTCTCCCAAGCCCGTGTAGCTGAAGACATGCATTTTCATCTGGTAATGGTAGACTGGAGAGAAACAAGGAGAGAGCACAGATGCAATGAACTCTGTTGAGAAGCAACATTGCTCAGCATGGCTCTCTGTGAAATAGCATTGGCCAGCAAAGGACGGACCCTTTCATTACTGACACATCATCGATCACTTTCTCCCGCCTCTACTGATTACAGAATTGACATTTACACAACCACAACAGCAGATCCACCCTGGGAGGGCTCCCCAAACCTTACACTGCTCTAAGGTTGGGGTGGTCTTGCAAGTATGACATGTATAAACCGTAGTCCTGCCCAAAAGGCAGTGTGTCTTTATGGCCAGAGTCCTGTTGATTATTTTACACGCAGGAAGAAGCACAGTAATGCCACAGGACAGCAATGCAGCCAGGTAACAGCAAAAGACTGGTGCAGTGCTGCTTTGAAGTGATGCTACTCTTCCACCTCTACATCTTTTCCAACGTTGACTCTGGGAGTCTGCTCTTACGGATGAGATTATGCACTTTCTAAGAGGCTAAGCGTACCTTTGAATGGCATGTCAGCTCTTGTTTTTAAGTACATCTTGCTGTTTCTTTTGTTCCGTATTTTCCTGGCATTGTAGCCAATGCCACTGCAGCGGTTCTTCCGGCAGCTCAGGCAGATGCCCTTCTTGAAACGACTGGAATCGGTACATTGAAACGCGAAGCTTTGTTTATCTTGGTTCACAAGGGAGTCCACGAAGAGGTGCACAGACCGCTCGTGTTCACATTTAACGACTTCACCAATTGCTAGAGAAGCAGGGTTGCAAGGGATACCTTTTGTTTAAGCATTTGTCACCACAGCAGCTGGTAAGATATCGTAAGCTATGCCTCTTTGTAGCTCAACATGAGTTGAGCATGGCCAAGCTTGAACATTTTTCAAACAGTAGCAATTCAAGAGGTTAGTGGATGACACTTGAAGGGGATTGTTCACTTAATCTCTGCCATGAAGAGAGCTTTAAAGAGGATTCTAGACCCAGCATAAGACAACCATAGTTTATGACCATGTGCTAGAGCGAGAACACTGTACTTCAGAATTTAAAAACAGGTCTAGTTTCTAGCAACTATCTCCAGTAGTACAGGCAGTTTAGAAGGAAAAAATGGTTTTCTCTGCTCTTGTAAATCTGATCATCACCCAGCATCAACCCAAGTGTATTTTTAAGGTGTCTATGCTGACCAGAGGCAAAATAAGTAATGAAAACTTACTCCCATAGGCAATTGCTCCCAAGACATCACTTAAACCGCAGCCAGGCTGGAAGTCTCCCCCATTGGGGTAGATGTCAACGTGGCCTACAGGCATCTGGATCCCAATGCTAACACCTAGTGTTTCCCTTGTGTAGGTGTGAAGGACATCCACAAAGTTAGCATCATCGGGGGAGAGGCGCTTGCTAGGGTCCACTCCTTCAAACATTGGGCCAGCCGGATCCAAACCTGGTGTTAGAGACAGTACGTAAGACGCCAGGTAAGAAATTGGGTTATTTCATACGGAATATATAACCAGGAAGCTGCTGCTGGCAGCTCTCCTAATCAGGTGCTATGCAGACTGTTCCCCAAGATCTCTTCACCATGGGTTCATTGAGGAAAGAAATAAAGATGTCCCGTATCGCTTTTGGTGCAATATGCCCCAGTAGTAGCACCAGTCTGCTCTGCAGTGATGGTTTCAGCCTCCCTGTTGGAAGCAATGAGTCTTTGCTAGGTCCTAGCGAAGAGATACTTCAAGAGGTAGCAGATGACTGAACACCAGAAGAGGTCTAGCACGCCAGAGAGACTGCTGGTAGCCAAAGCTGCCTCAGCAACGTTTTGTCTATTTTCAGACTGGATTTATGGAGGGATTAATACAAGTTTAAGCAGCAGCCAGGTAATCCCTGCATCTGAGAGCCCATGATGGGTTTGGGATGTTCTGTTAACAGCTAAGCGTCACCTCCAGCCTGTAACTGTGCTCCTGAGCCATTCCAACTTGACTGTTAGGCAAGTTTTCTGCTTAACTAAATACACATATTTATTGCTAGGCTCTGAGGAATTCTTACTGTCAGTGTCACATTTGAATGCTTAACGCAACCCCTTGGTACTATATCCTAAGTTCTCACATATTGAAATTAACTTTCCTCTGGAGTCAGAAGAACTTTTCAAGATATTTTCAGAATGAGGGGTTGGATTTTTTTTTTTTTTTTTGTTTTGTTTTTTTTTTTTAAAAACAAACATTCCATGGGACAAATGGCACCCAATAGCTCTCAGTTCCATTTGTTTATGGGTTACAATTACAAAACCAGTATAATTCAGAGGCTTAGGATGATAGTAAGAGCTTGAGCTGGACTTGTTTTGAGCCCACACTTAGCTTCAAATATACTCAAGATTAAGTTGTCCTCTGAAAGGTTTTTCATCCAACCCCCCCTACATTTGGGGTTCAAAATTAAGATACTTTCTCACGTGAAGGGACCCATGCTCCCCACTGCCACCGCAGGTAGGAAACTTGTCATTTCGAATAAGCAAGACCAAAACAACATCACGGCAATACAGGAAACGAGCCTCTTCGGGGAAACTCACTGCTGCTACGGAAAGGTAGGAGACTGCTTAAAAAGCCACTTGCCTGTAATTCTGCCTATTGTCCCATGGACGTGGTTACCAGCAAAGCCGGCGACGTGGGCGCCCAGGCTGTACCCGATCAGGTGGACGTTCTCAAGCTGGAAGAGCGGGTCCTCCTGCAGGGAAAAAAGATAAGATAATGTCTTTCAGGGCATGTGGCACCGCTCCTATCCGCAGGAGTGAAGTCCAATTCCAAGAAGAGATTGGAGGGAGGGGGCAGACAAGCATGCTTCATTCTTTATTTCGTCACAACGAGCACAAGGTTGAACGGTTTGGATGGCACTTATGGCTTGACCCCAAGCACAGTACGCAGCTTTCAACCCCAATTGCAGTATTCTTTGTTGAAGCAGCCTCTGGAGCAGCCCTCCCCCAGGGAGCTGCCAGCGGACCTCAGGACTGGCCATGGACTAAAATACTAAGCGTAGCACCATGGGCCTTCTTCTCCAGCCTCTTGCCAAGCCAATGATGACTTTGAATGCCCAGCTCCTAAGCTCACATTGCTCGGACAGCAGGAAGGGCTCCTAAACTCGAAATCCACTGCACCACCCCTTGACCCGAGCACGCTGCAAAGCATCACCCCCCAGGAAAGCACCGCAGCATGTAGCGCCTGAGCTGCGAGCCATCACCCCACCAAGCCTTGGGTGGGGGGGATTACACCAGAGCCCTCCCCGCTTGTGAGCGTTGGAGCTGGTTCCCTTGTGCAACAGTCCCCCGCGGAGCATTACAACAGAGACTGTCCTTAACTCACGTTACCTGTAACCAGTCAAGCAGCCTTGCTATGCTTTTTCCGACAATCCGGGTGTTGTTCACCGCGTCCGTGTAGAGCTGGTGGGCAAGCGAGAGCCAATCCACCACGACCACGTTGGCATCCTTCTCCCTCTCCCGAAGAGCGGATACCAAGCTGCCCAGCCAGGTTTCAAACATGCCACTCATCTAGAAAGAATTTCAGGTGTTAGTTTCCAGCTCACAGGGCCACGAAGACACATTCACAGTTATTTGTATATCATTTACATATTCTGCTCCAGCTATAAGCTCCTCTGCAAACCCCACTACCTCTCAGCACTGCACTAATGGTGTAAGAAAAACAGGTTTTGAGAGACTCTGGATGTAATTAGCCACCTTGCCTTTTAAGGCAGAGGGGAGAGGCATTTGTTACATGCCACCTTATCGCTCTTCTTCTTGAGTGTTTCAGAAATTCTGATGGATTGCAAAATTATTTTCCAGTCCTGGCACTTCCATCTGCATAATCCCCAGTAGAGGTTTTAAGTCTCCTACTGCCACAAGCTCAGACACATCGAATGAAGGAGAAAAAGCTTGATAAAGTCTGCCTGCCCCTCTGTTTATCAAGGAGACCACATAGGAGAAGTGAAGGCTGGGGACGCACTGCTGAAGTTACAGAAAGTCTGTGTGTGTGTCAAGCCAAGTGCCACCTTCACAGTGGTCGGTTGGATTTTAGGGAAAAAAATCTCGTTTTCCCTGTGCCGTGTTCATGTTACTGAGATACGAAGCGATCTTGAGCAGTTGTGAATGAGCTGGGTGGTTTCACAGCACGACCCACATCGCTTTGCCCCAGAGACCTCAGGTGCAGCTACTGAGAGGCCAGAGCACCCAAAACATGAAAAGCTGTCCCAAATCCCTCATGTTCTGGAGGCGTGGACCACTGGCTCTCTCTAAGCGGGCAGAGCGGGCGCCAAGCATCCCCGAGGGCTGTGCATCCCCTCCGTACTTACCGTCCAGCCGTGGATGATGAAGAAGGTTTTGGCCGTCGCGTTGAACCCGCAGCCCTCCAGACACTCGTGGCGGCCCACGGTGAGAGCGCAGCCGTCCTCCTCGGTGTCGGGCGAGGAGCGGAGGTTGAACTTCACCTGTGGCTTCGGTGCCGGCGCCCGCTCCCGCGTGTCCTCCAGCAGCTCGGCGATGGTGGCATCTGCAAACGGGCGGAGGAGGAAGGGCTCAGCGAAGCCCACCCCCCTCTCCCCCGCCACCCTGGGCCCGCCGCCGGGCTTCCAGCCCCGCTTGGGGAGAGGGGAAACCGGCTCCACGCACCCCGACCCCGTCCCGCGTGGGCGCCGCGCTCGCTCACCTCCTCCCAGCCGCGCAGCCCCCGCGGCCGGCGGAGCGCCCCACGCCGCGGCGCAACAGGTCGCGGCGATGCACAGCAGGAGGGAGAGCCCTCTCATCGCTCGGACGGATGGACGGACGGACGGACAGACGGGCGGGCGGCAGCGGGGCTCCGCGGGCGGCGGGGCCGCTTTAAGGGGCCGCGCCGGGGCGGTGCTCGTGGCCCGATGGGGCGGGGAGTGGGCGGGGCCGGCCCGCCGAGCTTCTCCCATTGGTCACGCCCTCCCGGAGGCTTGAATGGAAGGGGCCACGCGCCGGCGAGGGGCGGGGCGCGGCGCTCACGCGTGGGGTGGGGGGAGCTGCTCGCGGGAAGGCTCCGCGTGGGGAACCCGCGGGGCGTGGGGGGGGAGGAGGAGGAGGGGGGGGAGGAGGAGGAGGAGGAGGAGGAGGGGGGGGGGTGGGTGAGCCCGGCGGGGGTGGTCACGCGTGGGCCCCCGGCGCTGTTACCCCGCGGAGGCTCGTTTCTCGGGCGGGCAGAGCGTCAGCGGGACACGGCACGGTAAGGGGGTTGGGTCCCGGCAGCGCTCCCCTGCCGCGCCCCACCGAGCCGGGCGCCAGCGTGGGGTCTGTGGTTTCCAGCCCCGCCCGCGGGAACCCCCCATTTCTTTGCCACTCGGGGTGCTCCGGACCCCCACGGGCACGAGATACTGCCCGGAGGGCATCGCCCGCAGCCGCCTTAGCAGCACCGCGAACAGCTTGGAACCCCCAGCTGTGAAAAACTAAACTTTTATTCCTACTTTTTTCTTGCCTGTTTTTTTAGCCGTTACCGACCCGCAAGAAGATATTTCATTTTATCCTGCTGCCGCCCGCCGCACGCAGTGTCAGGAGAAGAGGTGATGCTCTGCCTTTCCTGGGCTCTTTTTTTTTCCTCTCCTGCCTCTGCCCCCTGGATCCTTCCTTTTCCCTCCAAACTCGCAGCAGAAAGCAAGCAGGAGGCACCAGGGTCTGCGGTTTATAAAAAACGGCAAGAATAAAGGGTGCAGGCAAATGATGGGCCAATATGAGGAGGAAAGATGGAGGCCTAAAACCAGTCAGCAGGAATGGAAATAATGGGAAATCAGGTACGGGTGTCGCTTTAGCCTTCGCTAGTAGATATTGATGGAGATAATTAATCTTTTCAGCAGTGCTTTTCTGGAGTGCTGAGTTCATACCCCGCGCCCCTACGAGCCGCGCTCGGCCCAGCCACCTCCTGTCTCCGTGTGGGTTGGCAGCTGGATGAGACCATCGTTGTCAGTCCCTTCCCACTGAAATTTCTATTCGATTCGATTCTACTCGATTCGATTCTGATTCGGTTTTCTTATAGGTCTCATACATGCGGCAGGTTGTGGCTGGGGAGCGCTGCTCTTCTCCTGGGGATGGTTCCCAGACCCTCTTTGTTTCCGACTCTGCAGAATGAGTGTGTGTACGGGGAGCTTTTCGCGCACCTCCCGTTTCAGGAGGCTGGAGATGACGCTAACTGCCTCTCCCCAGGGAGCGTGGGTTTGAGCGGAGCGTCCTGGGGACGCAGCCTCTCCCGCAGCTGTGTGGTCCCTCTCAAGGAGCAGCATCCTGACAGCAGGATGGCCTAAAAAAGAACGGACAGAGGTTTCTCAGCTTCTGGCCCACGACCGGACTTACTCCTGCAGGAAATGAATCAGCTAAACCTCATCACCAAACGCTTCATCATTTTAAAAAATTCCTGGTGCCAACAAAACCCTGCCAGACCCTCGGTCACTGAGACATCTTCCCATTCTTCCTCCCGTGCCTTTGCATTCAGCTGTTGCCTCTTGCCATTGTAAAGCTGTGACGGGTGGGGATGTGTCCTCCTTTTGTCTGTGCAATGCCAGGCTCCAGGAGGGGGGTCCCGCTCCTCGCCTCTGGCTTCCAAGAATGTCAGTAGCACTGAGAATAGCTTAGCAACAGCAAGGAAGACGTGCATCAAAATGATTCCTGGCTGCTTCGGCCGAAAGGCGACAATCATCCGGGGAGATGCTCAGGAAATGTTGTGATGGGCATCGTATCAACGCAGAGAGCGCGTCTCTGCAGTGACCTCTCTGTAACCCTGACGGCCTGTGGAGAAGACGGCTCCCACTCAGAGCTGCTTGGAAAATAACAGTTCGTTAAGCACAATAATTTTAAGGAGAAATTCCTAGTTTTGATTAGTTTTTCAATAGGAGATATTTCATGGCTCCCAGGTGGAGTTCCTGGATATTGTAATAAGTAATAAATAATAAACCAGGGTAAAGTGGATTATAACCCACCTTAGAAGAGTGAGAAGCTCAAAATTCACAGCACTTGTAGGGGTGTTGGCGGCTTTATCCCAGCAGCTAGTGTGAGCAGGGGGGTGCCCGAGGAGATAGTGGCTGTTCTTGGAGGCATCTTCCTGGCCCTATTCTTCTCTCCATACCCACTGTGATTTCTTAAAGATCTCAGTTCAGTAGTCCAAGAGCAGAACAGGAATGTTTTTGAAATAATGAGATTTTTTATAGGAAGTAGAAAAACGTCCCACTCAGCTGCAGTCACAATTTATTTGCAGGTGGGTGCTGCGTGGCTGAGGCCAAGGCTGGTTTCTTCAGCACCAAACATCGTGAGTCACAGCAGAGCCACGAGATGTCGAGGGAGAAGGGATGTGGTAGGAGTTAAGCATCTTGGTAGCAAAAAGCTAAAATCAGTACGATATGTAAATTAATATGCCAAAATATTTAAAGGTCTGGAGTCTGCTGGTGATCTTGGGGAAGGATTAGATAGGTTTTTTAGCAGCAGCATTTAATTTTAGAGGCTTCCATGTCCATGCATCCAACAATGAGACCATGTCAATGCCGTTTCCATATGAGCAGAACATCTCAGACCTGGGTTATAGTCAGTGACTTCTGCAGAAGCTCAGCTTCTCTGATAGAAACAATCTGTCGCTGTCCTATTCAAGGAGAATGAAGTCAGGCACCTTTTGCAAAATAATTGTCTTTTATGCTTCTGTTTCCCTGTTTTTAAAGTTAGCGTGCTGACACATCCTTTCCTTGCAGAATTTGCAGCAAGAAGAATGAACTGCACTACCGAAGACCTGAGCATTAAGGGAAAAGGGGAAATCCTTCAGCATCACATGACCTCTTTAAAGACCTGTGGAGGTAGAGTAATTCTGGTGTGAGCAGCTCTGGAGATCACAAGGAAAATAAAAGGCACCATGGTGCATGAACAGCGCTGCTAACACTACATCCTGCGCTCCTCCCAGGAATGACCTGCCGTGGAAAGAGCAGCAGAGAGCGAGCTTTGCTGCCCAGGGCAGGGTGCCACGGCCTCAATGAGTGGCTGCAGGAGTGATTTGCACAGTACTCCCATGGCTAGGATTGCATCCCGTCACATTTGCATCGCTAGGAAAGCGTAAGCGGAGCTCTTGGCTCGAGTGACCCCTCCTGATGGGGAAAAATTGTGGCTCTTGGGTTCGTGGGGTGCTTGTTACTGAAAGCAGTGGCACAGCAACAAGAGTCAAAGATTCTCCTCTTAAGGATTGCTCATTTGTACACACAAAGATTGATTTCATGGCTTTAGGTCAGCTATCCAGTGTCAGGGAGTGATTATTGCTATTCTACAAATTTTGAATTCCACATATAGAAACTTGGGAGAGCTTTACACACCCTCCATTCTTCTCGCCTGTTTTTTCTCTGTTTTTATTCTTTTTTATCAGTGAAAGAGGGAGTAGGATTTGCAGGAGAGGAGGAGGAGGGGAAAGACAGGAATTGTTCTCCCTCTTCCTTTTTTTTTTTTTTTTTTTTTTAAGTTATAAAACAGTTTTCCTTTTCAATTATAAAACACAGCCCACGCAGTAGAATTTAATGGGATTGGTGTTGGTTTCCCTCTTGACTCCCTCTGCCTAATTTGTTTCTGAGATGATGGGGGAGGAGGGGTAGAGACAGGGCTGGAGAACAAACCGGGGGAGGAGAGGGCTGCTCAGATGGCAGCAAGCTCAGGGTGCATTGTGCTGGGGTGCAGGCCATGGGAGGACCCCCGCATTGGATGGGCATACAGAGCTGACTGCACCCCAAAGGCTCTGCGGTCCAGGAAAGGCAACTCTGCGGTGAAATAACACCCCAGGTTTAATCCTTGCATCACCCTGCGCCTGCTCAGCCCAGGACCTATTGGTTTGTCATCATCCCATCACGCCACCAATTATTTTATACTTGGCACCTACTGCAGAGTGGGGCAATACTACTTACATGGCAGATTCTGCTCTCGGTATTTTTGTTCTGGGAGCATCAAACTGGGGTGAAAACAGGTCGTGCTGCCTTTGTTTTGCAGCCATTCCTTACCCCACAGTCTCTCCTCCCCTCCTCAGCTTTTCGAATACAACCCTTCTATGAACATGCTTTATAGGACCAATACTTCATATCCCTTTGTTTACAGAGGAGGCTAATCTCCATCAGATTATGAAATCAGCTCACATGCTTCAGTGGTATTACCCACTATTGATATCCCTGTTCGATCCCTGTTGAGCTCTCTTTGTTGGAGGTAACCCTTTCTCTTACCTCTTCTAAGCTGATTTCTTAGGCCACATCATTCAAGCCCCACATCCCCATGGTATTTAGATGTAGTAAAAATGACTGAGGGGAAAGTAAATGGCAGCCAGTGAGCCAACTAAACTGTCTGACTATTAATGGTCCTGTTAGTTGCAAATTTACTTTACCACAAAGCCCCCAGCATGTAATCCTTAGATGAATGCCTTTGATTGTGAGGGAATATTTACAGCTGACCCTGCCAGCAGTCTGCAAACCTGCAATGGGCCTCCTGTCCCACATTAAATCCGCTGGCATCTGTTCCTGGGTTCTTATCAAGCACATGCTCTGTTGGTGCAGTGTTTGGGCTGTAGCACTCACGGATACGGTGGGCCTTGACGAATAAATCCCCACATTCCTGCGAAATGCTAATTCTTGTGAACGTTGTACGTTACAGTTTGTACCTGCCTCCAGGCATTGCCATCCACAGGGAGATTTACAGATGGCTTTGATTCCTGCCGACTGCCCCTTCCCCGGGGCAGGTCCCTGGTCCTGATGCTGGACCACCCTTCACCAAGAACAAACTTCTTCTCGGCCACTCTTTGTTGTTCCATTTTCCCAGACATGCCTGAGTGACATGAAGTGATTTTTATGACAATTTTTTTCTCTTTTCACCCCTGAGCATACCTTGCACTCATCCCCAGGTTGCTCTGACTGAGCATGTTGTTCTTGCAGGGACCCTCAGGTGGTCCTACGCCACCTCCAGCCACAGCAGAGCTATGCAGGAGCACAGGCTGAAAGCCGGCAAGATTTCAGTGTGTCCTGATGCCTGTTCCCTGTGTCCAAGTGTAATTCAGTGGCTTGCCATTCCCAGCATGTCCCGTGGTATGTGGGATGGATCCAGACTGCTTGGCTTCTTTGTGTCAGCCAGAAGACCCAGTGGTGGGTGGTGGGCCTGCTCCATCCACTCTGCAGGCAAGGATGTCCTTATGTCTGTGTTGAGGAATGATGGCTATTTTTTCTCTTACGCCTTTACTCAAAACCCATGCTTTTCCACCCAAGCTGTATGAATGCTGAGCATGTTTGGGCTTGAACATGGACTTGGAGGCAAGCCTGCTGGCAGTGCAGAAGTGTCATGAGTGGCCGGGGAGGGGGGGATGCTTGTTTCTGCTCCTTTCTGAAGCCCTATTTTGGTGGGGGGACTGGAGAAATGTCTCAGAAGATTGTGGTCACTTAACCCTTCAGATGGTGGATGGTGAGCCCACAGTGGCACTTCTGCTTTAACTCTCCTGCATCCAGCAAAGGGAAAAGGTTAAAAAAATAATAAATTACTAACACTGCTCCTATGCCATTTTTGTAAGTGGAGCCTGGAGCTGCTAGAGAGTCCAGAGAGGAGTTTGGGGGGTGTTTGGTTTAGGGATAGCTTCAGAGTGTACTCACTAGTACCATCGGTGAAATGCACTCAGGAGTACCACTGGTGAGATGCACTCAGGAGTGCCATCAATGAGATGCACTCAGGAGTACCATCAATAAGATGCTCTCAGGAGTACCATCAGTGAGATGCACTCAGGAGTACCATCAGTGAGATGCACTCAGGAGTACCATCAATGAGATGCACTCAGGAGTACCATCAGTGAGATGCTCTCAGGAGTACCATCAGTGAGATGCACTCAGCACTCAGCTGGACTGCAGCTCGAGAGGAGACTAAGAACTGGAAGAGCAGGCAGTGGCTCTCCTGACTCCTTAGATGGTTCTGTCAGACCAGGGCACAGCTCTGGCTTTGGGCTTATTTCTGGTAGTTAGCAGCTAAAAGATCTTGCACACTGGGATTTTGGCAGAATAATTAGAAAGCTGATAGCTCCTCCTTCTCTGAAAACTTCCCAGATTAAACCCCAAACCAGCCATCTGGAGCTTCATTTTCAGCACTCGTAAATCCACTTTAAATTTATCTCAGTGGCACTCAGGCTTTCAAAACTGATCATGTAAATCTGGATGGACACCAAAATGAGGAAACTGAGCATGCCATTCAGCTTCCCAGTGCCTACAGGAAATGAGTTATTTATTCAAACCAATTAATTTGTTACTTACTTTAGAAAAGCCCTATAAATACATATAATGTTAGTTCTCTCCATTATTGCTAATTTGCACCCAAGCTTTATGGTTGCAAAGCTCAGGAGATTCTTCCTGGGCTGTTGTTGGGTCAGACAGCTCATACAGGAGTTCTTCCTCCCTGTTTGCCTGACTACTGATTTGGCTGGTGTTTAGGAGATCCTTTGGCAGTATTTTACTGTGATTAATGTTAAATGGGAATGGTATTTTAAACCACAAACACAAGACTTTATGCAGCATCTTCTGTTGGCTTTACTTATACCAACAATATTATTAATTTAATTTTTCACCAGCTTGCACGTTTTACTTTGAGAACCCATCAGATATCCCATACCCAAAACCAGTCTTGTTCCTCAGTGTCTCAATAAAGAGGACATCTATCGCATCTGTGTGCAGTGTGTGCAACATGAAGATGGGAGAGAATGAGATGTCCCTGAGGATGCTGGTCCCTCACCAGGCTCCACCTCACCCTCTAGCCATTTATTCCTAATTGCATGACTTCTATTTATTGTGCTTGAGTGTGTGGATCTTATTAGGAAGAGTTAGTAGCTCTGTGATTAATTAAGAAAAGCTTGGGGCACTTCTTAGTACTTTGTACTTGTGTTCCTGCCTGTGATGTACATACATTGCTGATATTCATCCAGGGAACTCCCAGTCCAAGGACAGACCAGCAGACAGATTAAGGTCAGGGCACAGGGAAAACAAGAGGGCTTTTCTGTGCAGGTCAGTTACATTCCGGGCTGCAGCCAGAGCAGGGTGGGCAGCAGGGCCAGGGAGGGGATTCTCCCCCTCTGCTCCGCTCTGGGGAGCCCCCCCTGCAGTGCTGGGGCCAGCTCGGGGGCCCCCAACAGCAGAAGGACCCGGAGCTGCTCGAGCGGGGCCAGAGGAGACCACGGAGATGCTGGGGGGGCTGGAGCAGCTCCCCTGGGGGGCCGGGCTGAGAGAGTTGGGGGGGTTCAGCCTGGAGAAGAGAAGGCTCCGGGGAGACCTTCAAGCGGCCTCCCAGGGCTTAAAAAGTCTGTCTGTCTTTCTTACAAGATCCCTTTAGTAAGGCCTGTAGCAATAAGACAAGGGGTAATGGTTTTAAACTAAAAGAAGATAGATTCAGACTAGATCTAAGGCAGAAATTCCTCCCTGTGCGGGGGGTGAGGCACTGGCCCAGGGTGCCCAGAGCAGCTGTGGCTGCCCCCTCCCTGGAAGGGTTCAAGGCCCCCTGGGCTGGGGGAAGGGGGCCCTGCCTGGGGCAGGGGGGCGCACTGGGTGGGATTCAAGGTCTCTTCCAACCCAAACCATTCTATTCTATGGTTCTAGGATATGCTTCATGGAGCAGGGCTGACCTTTTTTAAGCAGAGCACAATGCAGGAGATGAGAGCAGAGACCTGCTGGGCAGGCAGGACTGGAGAGCAGTGGCTGCAGACCTGTCCAGTCTGGGGCACGGGTGCAGTGCTCGTCTCTCCGACCACCTCTCCACGCGTAACGCCCCTTCCTTGCCTTTGCAGTGCAACCCCATGGCCTCTGCCTCCCATCCCGTGCCCGTGCAGCCGCTGCTGCGTCCCTGCACGCTGCAGGTCCAGCACCTGGCCCAGTCACGGGGTGGCCAATGGCCACGGGATGGGGAGCTGGAGCTGTGCTACCGAGCAGGGACCCGTGTTCAGAAGATGCCTGCCACAGCCTTGCCCAGCGGTCCCTACCCAGCATATGACCTTCCCGAGCACCAGCATGTGACTGGGATGTGCAGGCTGGAAGAGACCATGGGGAGAGGAAAGGATGGAGAGGGGGAGGGCGGCTCAGCTAGAGAGGATTAGTAAGCCTAGGCAGATAGGAAAAGCTCTGAGAGGGTCTTGTGTCAGAGGTGTTGCAATAGTGAAGGGGGAGGTAGCTGGATGGTTGGAAGACGGAGGGAAGGAGCGAGCCAGGAGGGGTGGATGAACTCAGAGGTGGCATTTGGGATCAAAGTGGGGAAGCCCGCGTCTTGTGGAGAGGAAGATGCTGCAATTGTCAGAGCAGGAGAGAGCATAAACTTGGGGATAATCTCCGACAACAAGAGTAGGAAGGAATGAACACAGAAGCCACTCACTGGGATGATAAATGAAGACGCTGAAAGGGTTGCTACAGTCATTAAGTTTGCAAGAGAGTAGATGTTCAGGGCTGTAGCTTCTTGCCATGCTGGAAGCAGAACCCTGTCTGCTGGCTGCAACTTTTGCACTGGTTGTGTTAATAGGCATCATTCAACCTTGTTTCACAGGGTCTGGGCAAATCTCTGCCTTGGTTCAGAACAGAGGGGGCTGCAGGGGTGACAAAGAAGGGTCGTGCCTGCAAGGACCGTTCCTGCCTCAGGTCCCTCCATGAGGTGTCTGCCAGCAGCGAGGTGGAGATGCAGAAGCCCCTGGAAGAGAAGAACAGGTTTGACTGTGGTTTATCAGCTGATCCAGAGGAGCTCTTGTCCAGGGCAGCCACAAAAAGACAAAGCAGATAACAAGAGAGGAAAGGAGGAGACTTCTTTGGTCCATTTTGAATAGGAGATGCAGTGTGACAAATGGATGGAGTTTGAGGCTGTGTTTCATAGCACAGGGCACGCTCAGCTTTAGAAATGTTGTCAGGATTCACAGATAAAGAAAAGTTGAGGTTGGGAGGGGCCAGCTAACCCCCTGCAGCTCAAAGCAGGGTCAGCCAGGGATGGTTGCCTGGGATATTGTCCAGTTGTTTTTTAATACTTCGAAGGACGAAGACTCCACAACCTTTCCAGACCACTGCTGTTCCAGGGTTCAACCACCCTCACAGTAAAAAAAAAAAAAAAAAAAAAAATTTCTCTTATGTTTAAACAGAATTCTCCATATTCTACTTTGTGCCTAAACCGTGGGTGCAAATTGTGAGCAATATACCTGATTCCAGGGATATTTTTGTTTTCATTAACCAAAAGCACATTTAAACCGGTTCTTCTTGGTTATGAGCTAAACAGGTTAGAGCAAACGTAAGCCCAGGATTTAATTTATCCCCAATAGTGTTTATGATCAGGCACTTACACGATGTCTTTATTTACTACTTTACTCATCAAGGTGATTGGCTGGTCCATGCCTGGCAATTATAGCCAGGAACGAGCAGTCATAGACCTGCACAACCTGCGTAAATGGTTTGCTGGCAAGAAATACACTGAATAAACACAAACTTCAGCTACAAGGTTATTTAATCACATAAGAGGTTTATTTTACCAGTGATTCCCTCCTAGCTGGGCGTGCAGGGGGTGGATGAACCCATAGCTCTAGGACAACATGACAAAAATGTTGAGTATTAAGACAATATCAACAATTGCTGTGGATTTTTGACCACACTCCTGGCCAGCTGGTCACCAGTAGCAGGAGGAAGGTGCTGTGCCTGCTGCGTCACGCTTCAGCAGTGGTGATGGTAAGGACAGATGCTTAACTGTCGTGACGCCGAGTTCCCTTGGCTGTTTCCTCACTCCTAGACTGGGTACAGTATACACAGGACAGAAATAAATAAACTGTGTAGCTAACCTCTTCTTGCAAGGATTCGCTTATGTTTTAGGTCACAGGGAATCAAAAGCATTCCAGTTCTTCACATGTTCTAGATGATACACTTATAATGATTTATATGCATAAACATACACACACACACACACACACACACAGACATATATATAAATAACTTTATGATGTATCTGCTTAAGTAAGGAACTTTTGGCCCCCTGTAGAAGCATCTCTTCTTAAAAATTACAGGGAGAAATTATGTAACATAATTGAGCTCTTCAAGTGACCAAGACAGAATTACTGATGCGGAGCAAAACTCCTATAGTGTCTTGTCCTGCTAGCAATCATCACTCCATCTTCTGGAGCTGCATTTCCTTCTTTTCCAAGCCCACAGATCTTGCCTGGGCCAGCAGATGTTAGGACGTGGTTGTGGAGAGTGGCTTAGCTGGAGGACTCACCTACCACGTGCCCAAATGCTGCTGTTTTGCTGACCGTGGGAGGAAAAGGCAAACAATGGGAGTGAGCTGTGCCTCTGGAAGAGCTGCACATCTGGGAGGAGGAGTGCAGAAGCCCATGGGCTGGCCAGGAGACAGAAGTTCAGGGAAAGAAGGTGCAGGCAGCTGTCTGAAGGCTGGAAAGCTTCAATGTTTCCAGCATTCAAGCTGGTTTCAATTTAAAATGTCTTTGTCTTCAAGATTTTCTGCTTAACTATTAGGACAAGCAATCCACTTGTATGTAATTTTGTGAATGACAGTTAATATCCCCACATAACCCTTGGACTCAAAAAAACTGGGTCTGCAAGATAAATGCCAAGAAATCTACAAAAAAAAAAAGTTGGAGGAATTGGCTTCCGTTCCTGTGCAAAGAACAGGTCAATCCCCGCTCCTATAGCACGGCAGACACGCGGTGTGTTTTAGCGAGCCAGAGTTAAGCTTGGCTCATCAGCCCCAGTGGGTCCATCTGTCATGGGGATTTTAGCACGGACTGTCCTGTTGCTCTACCTGCCCCTGTTATGAATTACTGCCCCCAGGCAAGGCAGCAGAGGCAGATGTGAGCCTGAGCAAACAGTCAGGCACTTGAGCTGTGACAGAGTAGGAGCTAAAAGTAATGCCTTGACTGCTGAACCGGCTGGCTGAGGACAGGCACAGGTTGGCTTCTGTTGCATCTGTTGCAGGGAGGTCCTATGGCTGGAAGCGAGCTCTTTTTGGTTCCAGTCCTGCTGCAAAAACACAGCCCTAGCCAGTCTTGGAGTTTCCTCTGGCCAGGAGGGACGGTGGCTATCAAGCACATTGACTGATTGTCACTTAGGGTGACATTTGGCTTGGCAGTTCCAGTAGAACTGATAAAAGGATGTTGTTTATTCACAGCTAAAGCCACCACAGGACTTATTTGACACAACAATCCTGTACCTGTACACTTCTCACTGCCTGCTGGGCTCTTCCAGGTCTGGTGAACTGGTGCAGCTCTCTTCTAGCCCCAGGAGCACACCCAGAGAGGTGTGAAGCCAACACATTGCAGGCTCCTCAGCAGAGAAAACCTGCAGCAGGAAGGGTGGGAACATCTTTGCTAGAGAACAGTCTCTGGCCTTCTGGTTTAGGATGTGGCTTTGAAACCTCTTAAGGGAAGAAAATTGAAGGTGGGTCTCCCACATCCTGGGAGCATGTTGTGGCTACCTCACTGCTGGGTTAAGATGGGCACTTTTGCTTTCTTTTACTGCCCTTGTGATGAGCCCTTTCTAGGAAGATGCTACCAGCAGGAACTTCCAGAGCACAAAGTAGGGGAACAATTCAAGTCTGAACACAGTTGGACGTTTGATTTCAGTGCCTGCTGAGAGAGTGAGTTCTTCCTGGGCACGCACAGCACAGTCCCCAGGGCTGGCTGGTATGGACAGCAGAGCTAAGGGGGATGGCACCAGGGGAGTTTAAAGTCTTATGAAGTTGAGATTCCAGGCGGCAGCTGCCTCCTACACAGGAGTTTTCAGGAACATGATTTTGGACTTACATGCCTAAATTTTCTGCCTAGGATCCAAAAGCTCGAGTCAGCTCTTGCAAGCTAAATATCCAAGGCAGCTGGTGCACTGGGGGAATAATCTGGGTAAATCTCAACAAGGGTGCATGCTCAGCTGCCCCAGCCCTGATCCCAGCACCAGGTATGTGTTAGGCTGTCTCTGAGAGAAGTAGTTAACCTCTCAACAAAGATGAAAACATGCATCTCATTTCCTGACACCATCACAGAAGTTCCTACCTCTACACTTTTACCACCGCAAGCCCTCAGCAGCTGATCTTAAACAGTTCCACGTGTCAGGGAAACAGAAAAAGCAAGTAACAGAAAATGCACCCTGTTTATTTTGGATCCACTGATGAACACAACAACCCTGATAATTCCCACCATGTATCAACGACTTATGTTTCACACCTCTTCCAGCTCCGAACCTATTGTTGCTTCTGTGCTCTGCTGCTAAGAAGCAGCTGCCTGGAAAGGTGCTTCCCATGGAAAGGCTGGATTCCTCCACCAGCACTGGTTTCTCACATGGAGACATGCAGAGGGGCAGGCAGAAACGGTGAAGGAGTCAAGCTGCATTCACATGGGCTGTGAGAGGAGATTCCCACAGTACGGTGGGGAAAGCCATGGAGGTGTTTGAGGACCTCAGCTTTTGCTAGTTTTAATTTATTGTGCCTGGGAGCTTAACACTCTTGGAAATAGTACGGTTCTTGTTCCATAGGAAGAAAAACTGAAACACACTAAGAAAGAGTTGGAAGTCATCGCTGCAATTTCTTTTTACATGTTTACTGGTTCCTCTAAGTCATGAGAACCCGGGGGAGCTGCTTTTGCTTGTTTGTTTATTTTTCTCTAGTAACACTTGACTTAAAAAGGCAGTTATGCATTTATTTTGGCGGTGCAACTCCTTCTTTGAATTACCACTGTTCTGAGATGGTTGTGTGTACTGAGGTCCTGAGTGCCTTCTAATCACATGGATGAGGATGGAAGTGCTAACTGGTGAAAACCGATATTTTCTATCTCAAAGTAAGCACCCATGACTGGAAGCTAGTATGTGTTCTTGTAAGTGTGGGCTCCTAACTCTTCTTTTCATGGCAACTTTGTATATGAAAAGAAAAAATGATATTTGCCGCATCCTAGCAGGTTTTCTTGGTTTGAGATCGGTGCTTAGAAGTTACTTCGACACTTTGCAGAAATCTTCTCCATGGAAGCAGAGTAGAAAGCACATTTTAAGGGAGGTGGAGAGCTACAGTCACAATTCAAGCTCTACAGTGTCCAGCCACTTAAATATTTCATAGAATCATAGAATCATTTGTTTGGGTTAGAAGGGACCTTAAAGATCACCCAGTCCCAACCCCTCTTCCATGGGCAGAAACACCTTCCTTTAACAGTTAAATTATTAGTTCAAATCTTTTCTTCTTCCCCATCTGGGTAAAATCCTGGCTTCAAGGCTTTGAGGGCTTTCAGTGCTAAACATGAGATCCAAAAATAGCCCCATGGACAGAGCATTTACATGGCCAGAAGATCTTGCTCTGCTCTCCAGGTTTCCAAACTTGGGAGTTGAACAGGGTCTCTCTTGTGCCAGTGAGGTGCCTGGACATAACTACCAGCCCCTCGGGAAGATGTTTCTCTTTTTTTCCACCCTGTCAAACTTTTCTCAATGTCCCCCTTTGCTGGAGCTGGGCACCACTTTCAGGAAATGCTTTGGTTTTATTAAACCACCACTTCGTCAAATTTCCCGAGCAGTTCTAGCTGCAAACACAGCCTAAAATGGAGAAAAAAAAAAAAAGGACTTTTTTTTTTTTTTTTTTAAATAATGGTGCAGTAAAAGCCAGTTGCAAGTTATAAACATGAATCTCTGTAGTCTCATCCCTTGGACACCTCTGTTAAGCGACGGGCTCTATTCCCATCCTGAGCCGCCATCTAGCTGCAAGCCCTTGCGCTTGCTCCTTGGTCTGGCCTCAACCGATCTCCGGTCTGCAAACAACACTTGGCCTTGAGCTGAGGGTTAATAAAATTGTTTCTCTTGGCTCCAGCGACAGGCTTGCCTGGATTAAAAAGAGGTCTCCTCCCGGAGAGCGGGGAATCTGACAGTGCGCGGCCCTGTGGGCGCCGAGCCCGGCGCCATCTTGCGGTGTGGGGGGTGAGGGGGGGGGGGGGGGGAAGGCCTGTGCCTGCGGGGAGCCCCTGCGCAGCCGCGCCCGCACCCCCCGCACGCAGACACGAGGCCGCGGCCCGGCGCACACCCACGTTTTATTTTCACACCTCGGCCTCTCACGCGGGACCGTGACGCCCTGACCGCCGCGCGTTTGCCGACGGTCCCTCCCAGCGCCCTTCGCCCGGCGCTCGGCGCAGTACTACGGCGACGCTCCCTTGGCGGAAATCCCGCCCGGGCTCTCGCGAGAGTTGGAGGCTCCGTCCGCTCCCGGCATGCCTCGCTCTTCCTTTTCCTGCTGCAGGCCCTGAGGTGAGGGGGCTGTGGCGGGCGGGGAGCCGCGTTCATCGGGCGCTGTCTGGCCCCGTCCTGCCCAGGGCGCCCCGGGGAGACGAGGGTTCGGTCGGCCTCTCCGGATGCCCTCGGTATTTTCGGGGGATGGCGCGGGGGAAGGACGGGGCAGGGGATGGCGGGCGGGGGGGGTACGGTGAGAGCAGGGCCTAGTAGGGAAAGAGCATGGCTGCGGTGAAGACTTTCTTAGGACACCTTTGGATTTCATTATGAAAAAAAAAAAAGTGTGGTTTCTGAGCAGCAGTCGGTAGGAAGGTGAGCAACCCAGGTTCTGTATGTCTGCGTTACAAGTTTAATCTGGAATTTCGTCATTGCTTTGCAGTTGAGCTCCCAAAATGGTGCGCTACTCTCTGGACCCGGAGAACCCCACGAAATGTGAGTTTTTATTCCTGTACGTCGGTTAGGCACCTTCACCGAATCCACTGAGGTTTTAATTCCAACAAACGGTCTTTCTCCGCAGCATGCAAGTCACGGGGATCCAACCTGCGGGTGCATTTCAAGGTACGCAGTGTGTGCGTATGGGAAACGCAAATTCATCTGCTTTCTTTTCTTGTTAAGGAAGTGTGTTTTACTCTTCTGTGTTATTACATAGTTACTCAAGGGTGGTAGCGTAGGTTTATGGCCTGGGCTTGCTTTAGCTGCTTGTAATCGATTTCATCCAGATCAGAAATTGGATCAGAAGTGTGAGAAATGCTCAGCTGCTAATTATCAGCGGCAAGGTGGTGTGTCTTAAAGGGCTTGCCGTCTAACACAGATAATAAAATACAGTAGTTAAGCGGTTGCAGTGAATTTAGGAGAAGGAATTGGGCTACTGTTAAATAAGCTTATTTGCTGTAGATTGCGTTGTAGGTTGTTTGGAAAGAATGTTTTGTTCATCTGAGCATGCTGCTGGGCAACAAGGATGGTGGTAGGGGGAAGGCTTGTGGGTCAGGATGTGGATTCCTTTGGAAAAGGTTTAGGTGCAGGACACCTTCGAGTTAACCACAAAACCAGAGCTGAGTGGATGTTTTTCTGCTCAGTGTTACATAGTGCAGGTGAAAAGAGATTTCACTCCTTTTGGTTTGCTCTTTTATTGTGATAACCTAGCACTACAGTTACTCTCTTTCACATTTAGTATGCTGTCTTAAGCACTGATGCCGTATCCTTAGTTTTTCTTTTGGAGCCTTTTCTCCCTTTAAAAATTTACTTAGAGGTAATTGTACTGCTTGTACCTGGTTTGTATAGCTTGTTTTCTCATTGCTTCCTTTATGGCGCTGTATTTGGCGTTTTATTAGGAATTTATTCTTTAGGGTCCTACTTATTTGGATTAGTGGCCAAAGAGGAGCTGTGAAAAGTGTAAACATTCACCTTTTAATTTTGCTAGTTGGAAAGATACAGCCGTTTAGTTAAAAAAAAAAAAATGCAAATTGAGTAATGGAAGTCCTGCCAAGAATTAGTAAAGTAGGTAGAAAAAAAAAAAAAGGCATTGTTAATTATTCTCTATTATTTTTTTTTTTTTTGTGTACGTGCTGATTTCAAACCGTGTTTGTAGCAAAAAGAAGGGGATCCAGGAAAGGGAGAGGAGTGCTTTTGCTGGCGGGGTGGCTTGAAAAGGTGGGCTAAGAGGGACTTTGCTGTGCTCTGCGTTTCTAGAACACGCGTGAGACCGCCCAGGCCATCAAGGGCATGCACATCCGCAAGGCCACCAAGTACCTGAAGGACGTGACCCTGAAGAAGCAGTGTGTGCCCTTCCGTCGTTACAACGGGGGGGTCGGGAGGTGCGCCCAGGTGAGGTCCGAGAGGAGAGAACATGGGAAGGAGCTCAGCGTGGCTCCTTGAAAGATGATGGTGAGACGACATGGAGAACAGTCAGTGGTTGATGATAATGTTGTATTAACCTGCAGGAGTTACTCTTTAATTCCAGTAGAGCAAGCGTTGCATCTACTTGCAGTGCCCAGTCATCGATAAAATTTTAAGTATTTTGATATGCAGCCTTACTAAAAGGGGAGGTGGTGGTAAGCTCGTGGCGTGCAAATGGCAAGTTGTCGCACCAGGGCAAAAAGGGAACTCTCCTCTTCTTCCAGGCCAAGCAGTGGGGCTGGACGCAGGGACGCTGGCCCAAGAAAAGCGCCGAATTCTTGCTGCACATGCTCAAAAACGCGGAGAGCAACGCTGAGCTCAAGGTGGGTTGTGCAGAGGTGGTTCAGTGCTGGGGGTTGTGTGGCAGTGCTCCTGAACCAGGCGGCTGGACAGGGTTGTACAGAGGCTTTGGTGTGCTGCCTGTTTGGGTTAGGCTGCCTGCATTTTTTTGAGTTAAAATGCAGAGGAATAGTTTTTTTACAAGTAGCTAGTTTGTGTGTGGTTATGGACTTTAGGTGTGGTTTAGGTCTCTTAAAATCTACAAAACAAAGCAAAACCTGTGGACTCTTGGTCAATTTGTTGCTTTGTAATATACTCCATGTTTAATTTGGTGACTTTGATGGCAGTGATGACTATCTTAGGACACCTTTGGAATAACTGTGAAATACTAATTCTCTTCTGAGCCATCACCATCACTTTAAATCCATTGTGACCTGTGGAAGTTTTTTTTCTGAATTCAGCTAGTGCTCGCCTTGTAAATACTCAGTTCTGTGGCATCACCGGGTTGAGATGAGTGTATGTGGCGGTGGTTATTCATATTTTTGCTGTGGAGATTATTAATTTGAAGAGAAAAGTCAGAAGTGTTCTCTCAACCCCTCTCTCTGCCAGGGTCTTGATGTGGATTCTCTGGTCATCGAGCACATCCAGGTCAACAAGGCTCCCAAAATGCGCAGGCGCACCTACAGAGCGCACGGCAGGATCAACCCCTACATGAGCTCCCCCTGCCACATTGAGATGATCCTCACCGAGAAGGAGCAGATCGTTCCCAAGCCGGAAGAAGAAGTTGCTCAAAAGAAAAAGGTACTGAGCGTTGTACCCTCACTCGTTTTTAATGTCACCAGCGAGAAAGGGGAGTGTTCGTGTCCTGCGTTTTTCAGACAAGAGGGGTTGCTGTGATGACTATCTTAGGACACCTTTGGAATACCCATGAAAAAAAAAAAAATTCTTTCTGAGCAACCTCACTATTTATTGTAAACGCAGTGTCGAGAACTTAGGAAAATGGTTTCTGCCACCCAGGTGGTTGGTTCTTCCCTCCCTCAGAGCAGTCACAGCGTTCCCTGTCCCTGCGGGTGAAGCTGTGATGTGTTAGGATAAAATTGACATCGATTTGACAGTCTGAGCAGTGTCAGTGACACGTCCTGAAGTGCAAAGTGTGGTTAGTGGATCGTTCTGTAAACGGGTGAGGAAATTTCTCACAATTGTCAGCACACCTTTCAGAGGATGACTCTAAACTTACTTGTGAGGTGTTTCGGGGAGGTGTGGTTTATCACTTTCCTCATTTCTGTGTGTGTATTTTTTTTTTTTTTCCCCAGATATCCCAGAAGAAGCTGAAGAAGCAAAAGCTAATGGCTCGGGAGTAAATCTGACTCAGCAAATGTACATAAATAAAACTTTAAAAGTTAAGGTTTATTGTGTTGTGCAGCTTTGTGCTTTGAAGGCTTTTCCTGTAAATCCGCTCGGTTTCGGAGCCGCCGGTGTGTCGCAGGGGTGGGGGACAGCCATGGCTGCAGTCACAAACTCTTATTTCACATGGTGGGGGTATGTTGATGACGTAGGAGTGTTTTCATGTATAAAACAAGATAATTGGAAACAGACCGCGGGTGTTGCGTGCCTGCAACGCAATTGGGAGGGTCTTAGGGGTTGGGGAATTGGGAGGGGTCTGGGGGGGGGCGATATTTTGGCCGGGGGTTCTCAGGGTTGGGGTATTGGGGGGGGCTACGTATTTGGGGGGGATCTCTGGGGGAGGGTCTCTGCGAGGGGAGGCCTGGGGGGGGTTTCTAGGAGGGGTGTATTTGGGAGGGGCGGCTCGGGGGAGGGTATTTGGGGGGGGGATCTGGGGTGGATATTTGAAGGGGGCCTGGGAGGGGCGTATTTGGAGGGGGGTCTCGGGGTGGGGTATTGAGGGGGGTCTGGGAGGGGGGTCTCGGGGTGGGGTATTGAGGGGGGTCGGGGGGGGGGGGCATTTGAGGGGGAGGCTGAGGTGGTATTCGGGGCAGTCTCGGAGTGGGGCGGTTCTGGGGGGGGTTTCCCGGTCCCTACCGCGGCGTCGGGGGTGGGCGGGAGGGCACCGCCCACGTGACGCGGACCCTGCCCACGTGACGCGGACCCCGCCCGTCTCCCATTGGCGGCGGGGCGCGCGCCCGGCGGAAGCGCGCCGGGCCTCGTTTCCGGTGCGGCGCGAAGGGGAAGCGGCGGCTGGTGAGGGGCTGAGGTGAGCCCGGGGCCGGGGCCGGGGCCGCTCCCCGGGGGGGGCCGCCCCTCCGCCCTCCCGCCTCGCTCCCCTGCTGCCCTTCTGGGTGGGCGGAGCGGCTCCGTTAACCGGGGGGGGGGGGGGGCGGGGGGAAATCCCGAAATGTAACGGTGCGCGCTGAGGGGCCGTGCGGTTTGGGTCTAACGCCTGTTTTTGAGAGGGGCCGATTCGGAAAACCCCCCCCTCTGCGCCCCGGCCGTTAGCTCCGCACCAGGGGGAGGGGGAAGGCCGCCGGTGCTCCGCCGTTACTGTGAACCGGGGCCTGGGGGGGGCTGGCCTGGCTCCGGGGGAATATTCGAGCCTCGGCCTGCGGAGAAGCAGAACGTGTTACAGAAATTAGGTTTTCTAGAATGGGTCATCCTTTATGGGGGAAAAAAAAAAACCAAAACAAAACAAAATCGAAACAACCAACCAACTCCCCCCTTTTGTTCGCGTAGCCCGTTTTGTTTTCTGTTTCCGTAATAGTTGACAAACGAATGAGCTACACGTGGGAAACAAAGACCGAACGTACTTAAATTTGCAGTGTCACGTCTCTTCTCTCGGCTGACCCCAATATGTGGTGGTTTACAGAAAGGAACAAAAGCGTGTATGACAAAGAAATAAGCTTGCTATTAGAATGGGACCATTTGTCCTTTTACTCTTTTTTTTTTTCTTTTTTTTTTTTTTTTTCCCCACTAAAAATTGGTTGCCTGCTAGGCAGTCGACAGAGCATCACCAAACAGTGGAAGAAACTCGTGAACAATGTTTAAATGTCTTAGGAGGGCTGTTACACTTCCGCTGACTTGCCTTTGCATCTGGCAGGGGGTATGACATGTTTTTTGGTCTGGAATCTTGATGTGAAGTGGCTGCAGAGGCAGAAAAACAGCCTGGGGTGTTCCCTCCAGCTGTGCTCTTTAGCTAATGAATAAATCCACAACATCTGGCTGAAAATTCAGTATCTAGGATGTTCTGGTGGAGAGAGTAGTGGAATTGTCTTGTTGAATGGCTTTAATGGGTTACCTCATTTATGTTGTCTCAGTTTAAGATCTGAGCTACATTTGAAGTAGCCAGAACGACACTTGGAAGTAGTCAACTGGAAATTGGTATTCTGTTGTTCCACTGGACCTGGCGCTAAAAATCTTTAGGATAGCTTAAAAAAAAAAAAAAAAAAAAAAAAAAAAGGGAGACTGATCCTAAAACAAATGTACACATCTGCCTCTTCATTCTCCATCCTGGAAAGCTTTTGTTTTGCTTCTTAATGTAAGAATTTAGATGTCAGCAGCCTAGAGAGGAGGACTGTGAAGGGCAGAGCTGTGCTGTGCAGCGGCGTGTGTCTAATATATTGCTCATCAGCATGGAGAGCGACAGCTCTAATCCGACTTAACTGCTCCCTCTTCCTGTTGTACCTTTCTGCCCCTGCGCTGTGGCTTTCTGCATTTTGCATCACAGACTTCAGGCTGTCATTTCTGAAGACTTTTTACTGGGTTTGGGAGAGAGAGATGGATTAATTTTCTAATAGTTTGGCCAATTGTATGGGACTGGTGTGGGATCAAGCGATTCCAAAATCTGTGCAGTAGGAAGGAAGTAACTCGTATTCACCTCTCAAATCCTGACTAGGATTCTCTTCCCCCTCCCCCTGACCTGCCCTTCAGAGGTAGCAAACCATTAGGTGCATTGGAGTCCTGCCATTTAATTTCACCTTAAATAAAAAGGGATTGAGAAGAAGTAAGCTTTTGAACTCTCTTGTAATATAGTAAGAACTGGGCTAATATCTGCAGCTCACCGTGTGTGGTTTAAACAAAAACTTTTATTTTCTGAATTTGTTTTTCTAAGTTCCAGCTGTCAGACTGATAAGTTAATGGCAAACTCTACTTCTGTTTTTTTGTTAAAATGTCAAGAATGTTTCCCTTGTTGAGGACTTCATAACATTGGAACACACAGCATTTTTGAAACTTTAACAGTTAATCTATAATTAGAGAATCTTTTATGTCTGAATATCAACTACAATCTTTATTCATTATTTAAGACTACTTTCTTAGCTCGTGGCATAAAAAACACTGTTATCCTAAGTTGTTGTTCTTTTTCCTTTACCAGCTTTGTCACAGAACAAGGGGAAGCCATGGTGTGCATTCCTTGTATTGTCATTCCGGTTCTCCTCTGGGTCTACAAGAAATTCCTCGAACCTTATATCTATCCTGTTATTGCACCTTTTGTTAAGCGTGTATGGCCTAAGAAAGCTGTGCAAGAAACAACAGCCACAAAACAAGGTCAAGGAGGCAGCACTGGACATCCACAGGCACCTTTAGCCTTGAAAAGAGATCAGGAGGATGAGTCTGGAATTTATAAAGTAAGATTAATGCATTTAGCTAACCAGGGAAACTCCAGATAAAGCCCCCAGCAATAGTTCAGGGTGGGTGCCACAAAAGAGTAAATATTTGGGTGTTTTAACAGATGTTTTTGTGGATATTTTCTTACAAAAGTGAGTTACTGGTACTGAGCCAGCTAGAAATAGTTGATTCAAGGCAGCTTCTGGTAGGTTTTGGAAGGATAGGAATTGCACCTGTTTTCTGAAACAGCTTAGTTAATTTATGTTTTTTTTTGATGAACGGCTATTTCACAGAACAAAGAAGTCAAATAGTTGGTGCATCACACCAGATACATGAAGCAGAATGGAAAAAAAACCTCCACACCTTTTAAGCCAGCTCCTCTGCTCGTAATGGGGGAAAATGTTTAGTGTGTGTAAATTGTGCATTTATTATTTGACTCCTCTAACCAAATGCTAAGATTTGTATATATTGTCTCTGCATTCATTCCCCCACTCCCTCCCTGAAGCAGTAATTATCTGTAAATCTAAAGAGACACCACTGCATTGGTTCCCACTGCACATTTCTTCATAGATCTTCACTGGCCTTGCTTCTAAAAGCCATTTTCATCACCAGCTGCTTCTGTTCTGGGTGTGAAGTCCTTTCTTGACATCCCATTAATGATGCTATCTTGTATTTGCAGTTTGAAAGCAATGGCGTTATGAATGGAATTACTGCAGAGAGATCCACAGAAGTTTTTGACAAGAAAATGGATTAAAGGAATTAATTCATAAGGATTTTATTCCCTTCTGTCTGATATGAACTGGTGATATTTATCTCACTTTGGCACTTATTTTTTTGGCACATGTTAGCTGAATAAAACCCCTTATCACTTACAGGAGAGGATCTTTTGCCACTAAAATGGCAGCTAGAACATTTAGTTTAAAATGTTTAAGAACTGAAGTTCTTTATTTTCTTCACTGGAACTACTTTTCATCTATAATCTATTTGGTGTGATTAGAATTTAGGTTAAATAACATGCATAAATCTAGCTTTGGAAGGTAAATGTTACCATAGCATCTTAGTTTCACTAACTGCTGGTGGAATACTTCATGCTTTCACTTTAAAAACTATAGCTGTTCTTGACCTTGCTGAAGAACTATGAATTGCATTGTGGCAACATAGATGTCATGGTAAATTATGATGCATTTAGATTTTTCATGTCAAATATGTGGATGAGCTAAAGGAGTTAAGCAACATGAAGAACTTACTTAGTTCTAAAAACTAAGAAGGTCTTGATTTGATACTTCCATTAATAATTTTCCTTGAAACATTGTGCCTTTCTTTCCTGAAGAGGAGCAGCAGAGGCATGATGCAAGACAATTGTTGCTTTATGGTCTGTTGTGGTGGTTTAAAATGGTGCGGTTCTGTCTTCTAAAAAAAAAGTCTAACTAAAATCTCTTCTAACATGCTTGTGGAATTTTAATTAGAATAAACCAGGATTCTATTTAAAAATAAGTTGCTTTGTACAATTCTTTTTAGGCTGCTAAGCTATAAATATTTAAGGTTGTAAAAAAATCTTTGGAAACCTGTAGATGGGGCCTGGGCAGAAGGAGGTCACAAAACTACTGACTTCATGATAAAGGAAGTGAACTTGGCACGTCCAGTGTTGCATCCTCCTGGGAAGATGCATTCTGGTACCGACTTGCATCCCAACATTGTAGTGCAACTGTGAAGCGTTTTAGATGTCCCTGTGCTTAGTAGGGAAAAGAAGTGATGATTCCTGCTTTGTCCTCTCTGCCAAACCAGACTGCTCTTTAAAAGATTAAAAATAAAACCATTTCAGACATCTTGGATTGCTGTTTAGGATTTATCATTTTTCCCAAAGTCCTACCTAAGGTACGCCTAAAAACATACCTTTTTATATATGCAGTCCTTGAACTGTCACCAGGGTCCAAGCTTGTCCTTGTGACTGTGTTTTCTCCTACCAGATAATTTAGTATTCCAAAGACTTGCTTCATGCCTGCCAGACACCTCTGGTGAAGCGTATTATTTCCTACCACTACCTGGTTTTGTCAGGTCTTGTGTGAATTAATCTGCAATGTTCACAGCTGGATATCAGGCCCTTGTTGCTGCTTCTGTAATGAGCTGAATCACAGAAAACTCCTTGCAAGATGTTGCCTAATAGTGTTTGCTCTCCCATAATGAGCTAGTCTATTAGGAAGTGAATTCAGTATTGCTGTTTAATCAGCTTTTGCATTATCCTTGGAACATAATCCTCCATCTGATCAGTGTGTCACAGATATACCTTTCTCCTAGACTGGTGAAGTACGTACCCTTTGTGATTATTAAAACCTGGTTTTATTCTCAGCATGCATGCATGGTCTAATTCACACAATAAAAGATAACAATACTAACTGTGCAGTCCTGTAACTTCTCACAGATATTACTGTGTGGCTTGTGTAGTAGAAAAGACAGGGATTGGAAACAGGAGAATTGTAAGCATTCTGAAAAAGATGGTTACTTCTATGCTTCCTATCCCAGGGCAGGTAGCCTTAGCCACTGTTTTAAAATGCTGCACATCTCATAAATAGGCCAAAGTTTGGGAGTAATACATTCACCTGTAACAGCTGTGAACATGACAGAAAGTAGACCAAGAGCTGTACTGGGGCTTCTTTAATTTTTACCTGTATGCAGTCAGTTTATAAAGTGTACATAATTAATTATTTTGAATTATTTGGGGTATTATGACACAAGGAAGTGCATCGGACAGTGACATGGAAAATAAACTGTATAGTAAATCAGGCTGCAGGCTGAACTGGGCTTCCAGCTGTGTGACAGCACCATATTTAAACACCAGGCTCACTGAAAAGACTTTCAAAAGCTGAATAGGCAGATAATGCAAGTAAAATTACACTGTGCTTTCTGGAATGGTGTTTCAGTACTTTTATTAGCTGCAGTTAAGCACTGATGTGGCTAATCTTCATCACAAAACTTTCCTGAATGAGGCACTTCACTAGAAGTCCTGACAGGAGATTTGTGTTGCAAATTTTTCCAAGAACCTGTCAGTAATCTTATTGTGTTGTGAACAGTTTAGCAAAAAATAAGTCAAAAAACAGGTGAAGGAAATGAACTGCCGAAGCCTGTTCAGAAGATCATCTGCTGGGGTGCAAAGAAGTGCACAAAGCCTGGTTTAAGAAAAGCGAGTAAACAAAGTAAGAAAGTCTTCACATGAGAGAGCAATATCCATCAAGTAAATTTAATTTAACTGAGAAAATTTCTGTATCTCTGTTACTCACTGACAGCAAGATTTACTAAAGGGCTTGGGCACCTAATGATGGTAGGTGGACATCTACCAGAATTTACAAGTCCAACTAGCAGCTTCATTCACTCTGAAGACTTAGAAAATGGCAGAGTAGACATATTTAGGGTCCAAACTACTGCAAATCCAGTTCTAAGATTTACAGCATTAAAGCTGTCTGGGTTTATATAAATACTATTGGGGAAGAATCAAGAAATCAATATTTGAAAAAAATACTTGGTACCTTCCACGTGTTGGTTTGCACAGGTAGCTGGGTGACAATGACTTGAAATAAACTAAATTGAAATACACCTTTAAAACACTTGAAGTATGTGCAAAAAATTCTTAAATAAAAATTCAGATGGCTTTATGTTGCCAATCATTTTGATGGGCCTGACTCTGCAAGCAAAGGAAATTCTGGCAGGTTAAATTTAGCCTCTAAGGATGTTTAAACTGACAATGAATTCTGTGCAAAATGATCTTTATTCAGGTGTGTTCATAGAACACAGTTAAATTCTATCCATAAGGCTGATTTTATGGCAGCAACGCAATATGCTGTTATTACCCAAATGCAGCAATCATGCTCCCATATCCTAGGAGCTGTCGGGCATGCTGCTAAGGTTCAAACCTTGGAGTCACTTCTTGATTTCTGTACAATGCAGAACATTATTGCTGAAAAAAACTGTCTTTCAGAAGCTGCAGGTATAGGAAATGAAGAGAAATTTAGTTTACACTTAGATTAACCAAATCTGCCTTCAATGTGAACTAATTTGGTTTCATTAAACTACCTAAGCCATGAAAGGGGATTATCTTCTTTGTGCAGTTTTCTAATTGTTAGAACATGCTCGCTGAACCAGATAATATTTTGGGTTTTGCAGACTGTCATTATTTTTGCTTTTCAGTGAACCTGACTGCAGTAGTTTAACTGAAATGGTCTGGAAGACCATGTTTCCCACAGTGATTCTTTTTCTTTAGAAATGTTTTTAGATCATAGTGCTGTATCTTTCTTTCATTGTTGTATTTGAATCACAAACTGTTTGAAATGTTGTGAATAGATGTATTTACATGTAGGCAGATATAGCAGTACTTCTAGTTTGTGTGGGGATTGTTTTCCAGCTGCTTTTTTGTGCACACACTCCTACCTCTTTTACAGCCATTATAACTTGGCCGTGCACCGGTTTTATTGCTGTAGCAGCCTGGTCAAACACTGTATAAACATAAGGCCAAACCCTATTCTAAGATTTTTGCTTTTATGTGGCAATGTATATGAAGTGGTTACACCCCACCGTTGCACTCTCTGCATACGTGCTGTTTGCTGGTGCAGCTGCGTGACAGGTACGTGTAAGAGCTGGTCTGCATCTTGTCGCTCACCACAATAACGGGATTATTTGCAGGACTAATTCTATCAGTAAGGGTTTCCCTTTCGAAGGAACCATTGAAACCATCAGTTGCTTATAGAACCGAGGCACAACGTTGTACCGATGGCACAGAGAACACCTCAGAGATGGAGATAGGAGGTTACCAGAGGTAGAAACAACGATTTTAAAGCAGCGTGAGGGCACGACCACGCCGGGGAAATCCCCACTCCGGCTCTGGGTCCCACTTTACCTCAGGTAACCGCTGCCTGAAAAGGCGGGCCAAGGCACTCAGCCTGCGTCCGCGACCACCCCACGGATTACCGAGAGAAGCCTCCGGGTTCAGCCGACGGTTCCCACCCGCCCGCCGCACCCCTTTTGCCCTCAGAAATGGTGGCTGGGCCTTCCCCCCCGACCCCGCCGCTATCCCGCCGGACTACATTTCCCGGCGTGCCCCGCGGCGCCCCCCCCTTCACCTTCGGACGGCTCTTGCGCATGCGCGGCGGCGGCGGCGACGTGGAAGGCCGGTGGGTGCGCGCGCGCGCGCGGCGGGCGGGGGCCGTTTGGGCAGCGCCCCCGGGCGCGGGGCGGGGGGTGTGTGGTGGTGGAGTCGGTGTCTGTCTGTCTGTCTCTCTCTCTCTCTCTCTTTCTTTCTGTCTGTCTGTTTGTCTGTCTGTACCCGCGGGACTTCGTGTCGGTTTGTCCCGCCGGGATTGCGGTGGGCCGCGGTGCGAGCGGGCGGGCGCCGCTGATGGGAGTAAGCGGGGCCGGTGGCGGGGCGGCCCCTCAGCGCCTCTGACATCCCCCCCCCTCCCCCACCCGCCCTGACGGCCACCGTTACTCGGCGCCGTATCGCGACAGAGGGCTGCTTTTGTGCCGGAACCCGAAGCATCCGCGGTGTTCCCCCCCGTGCCCCCGCCTGCCGTGCCCCTCCTGGTGCTCGGCCTCAGGGACCCGGGGCTGCTGTCCCTTCACACGCCGTCAGAAACCAGAACGAGAGAGGTTCGTAACTGTCCTTCTGGTTTTGTACTCGGACTGGCATTTATTAATAATGGAAAGGCTGCAAAATGACATACTGTTTCCTATTCTTTTGTGAACCGGAGGGTTTTTATAGCGCTCAGTGATTGCTTCTGCAGAATAACGGATCTGCTCAGTCTCACTCTGCTTCCTGATCACTCCTGCCAGTTTGTTTTCATACTTCTGAAGGATAATATCTTGAAGGAGTAGGAAATATTTTGCTTTAAAAGAGAATTTATATCTTACCAGAATTGACATAAGGTTTTGCCTTGCATGCTTTCATGCAAAGCGTTGTTTATTTATCTCTTTATCTCTTTTTTTTTTTTTTTTTTGAATCTTTTGTGCTGAGTGTAGTGAGTTCGTAATCTGATTTCTTTCATTACATGTACCGAGGGATAACATGCTGGGCTGCAGTTGCAATCATCTGAGGTATTTGTAGGAGTAGCTTGTTAGTATTTCCTGTACTGAGTCCTTTTGCAGTGCAGGGGAGTGGAAAGAAGCTCCGGGGGGGTTGGGTCCGGTTTCCTAATGCAGGCCGCTGGGTTGTGTAATCCCTCGTTTTGTCAATTCCCAAGTAAAAACCGTTGAAGTTGCTCCAGTTGGGGTGGCTTAAAAATTGTCCTTGCTCCTTCAATTTCCAGGAGCTCAGGTAGGCCTCCTTCTGCACTTTCCCTGGGCTGTTTTTTTTTTATGGTGCTGCTGCATCAAGAGAAGCCTGTGGACAGCCCTGGGGATGTCAGACCCTGCTCTGCACTCTCACTTGGCTGAAGCAACCATGAACTCCTTCTCTTCCAGTCCTCTGCTGATGTTTTACTAGCACAGCATCTACTCCTTACTATTTT